TCTGTGTCACTCTTGATGAATACAGCTGGCCTGATGGAGGGTCCCTGGCCCTTATGCCGTGGTCTTCCCTCCCATACCTCTCCCGTCCCAGCAGAAGAATGCAGCCCTGCCCCCATGGGCCCTGCCCATTGTGCTGCTATGGGTCAGCAGCTGGCGCTTTCATAGGGATGCGGGCTGCTCAGGCGGAGGCCTGTTGCCACCTTGGGGTCACACGCAAGAAGCACTTTGGTTTCCTTTTCCATCATACCTGGAGAAGAAAGCTGTTCCTTTGTGTCCCTCGCTGCTATGTCTGTTTGACTTGAGTTTTAGGAATTTGCTCTGTTTCATGGAAAAGGGAGCTGGACACAGAGGCCCAGGTTAATGGTATGTACTTTGGCCACTAACCTGACTCTGGGAATGACAAATTACTGGCCATCTGATTTGTTTGCAGGTAACAAGTGATGGAGGCGTTTCTAGTGATTAGCCCTGTGTTCCTTCCTCGTTGGCTTCTGCCCTGGCCTGAGTCATCTCCTGAGCCTCTGCATAGGTGGCTCCGCCAGGGAAGCAGCCCTGCTCAACACCTGTGTGCCCTGTCACAGGTATGAGAAGTGGTCTGCCCCTGTTGTTCTGAGCTGACTGTGTTTGCAAAGTGGGCCTGCTGCTATCAGAATTCGACTCCAGAATCAAACTAAGTGACAGGGTGTGGCCATTTATCACATTCCCAGACTCCAGTCAAGGCTGAGAACGTGTTTTAATAGCATTTGCAAACACTTCATTTTCCGCAGCTCCGATAGAGCTACTGAGCAACCGCTGATAAGCAAGTTTTGTTCTGCTGTGGTCGCCCATGGGTGCGGAAGCTGAGTGGGTGGTGACCTGGAGTGTAGTTGTCCCACTAGGTCGTAGCTTGTCTTTCGGGGCACACCGGTCCTACCAGCACAGGTTAACAGGGAGTTTGGATCTCCTGGGTGGACCACACCCAGCCCAGTCCTTAGGGCCCCGGAGGCTTAGCTGTGTGTAGCAAGCTCTGCTTTCTGGGCTTTGTGGCTGCCTCCAGGGGGGCCGAGAGCTGCATCTGCAGAAGCACAGCAGTGACCAGATCACGCTGCACCAACAGTGAGCTGGTAGCCCTCCTGATGTCTGGTTTATACGTACAAAGTACAAAGTGTTCCAATTGCTTTTAGCCAAAGAGGTGAGGAGTCAGCATTCTCGACATGACAGACACACTGTTGACATACAGTGTGGTCAGAGGCTCCGGTGAGCTGGGAACTTCCTTTTGGCAAGCCCCGGGCACGCTCCTGTCCGATGCCCGGCATCCTGTGACAAATGGGTGCCCTTGAGCCGTTTCGATAGAGCAGGGCCAGCACTGAAAAAGTTGGGTTGAACTTTGACTTTGAATGTTCATTAGTGCTAATCATAGACTTTCTGACTCTGAATTAGTCCCTGAGCCTGCACTGGGAGTCTGTCTCCATCTGTTTGTTGTGGACTTCGTGGTGTTACATTAGCTGTGTCCTGTCCAGTCGGCGGTAGTCTGCAGCACGTGAGGTGAGATGAGGCGCTCCTGCACTTTTCCGACTTTTTCTCCGCCACTCGAGTGGGGAGGCGCCCTTTGTCCGCGCTGTCGATGGAGTGGGGGTGAACTCCCACTTGCAGGGTGCAGGCCTCCAGTTGCTTTCTCAGATCCCAGGAGAAAGCGGGATGACTCTGTGCCGCCTATGTCCCACTGTCCCTCTTTCTGAGAGGTGGCTTCAACTCTCTGTTGCCAAGGAAAGAAAGCCAAACACTGGCTGTTTTCAGGGTCTACTGGAAGGTGGCTCAGTCCCCGTCTGGTGAGGTGGAGGGTCAGGCTGGCAGCATCCTCACCCCAGCAGAGTTGGTGTGCTGCCTGTGTGTTCTGTGCCCGCTAAGTGTGAGCCTCCCTGGGTGTACGAGTGTGTGCCTGTTGGCACAAGAACATGCCAAGTTCCAGTCCACATAGCTTTTAGGACCTGACGGCAGCTCGCCATGGCACGTGGCCTGCGCCAGGAACCTTAGAGGGCCTGAGGACAAAGATGAGCCCCAGTAAGGCCTGAAGTCTGGTGTCAGCTATGTATGACATGTGGACTCTGCCACCTCCTGGCTTTCCCATGAGGGCAGAGACCCCGTCTGCCCCGTCCCAGACCCACCTGCAAGAGGAGAGGAGGTGCTTGTGGAATAATGGAGCCTCACATCCACAGCCAGCCTGCGTCGTGCCCCTCTCGGGGCCTCTCGTCCCCCATTCCCTGGACAGAAGGTCCTGTCATGTCAGCTGGTCTGAGCTGCTAGTGTCTGGGTGGTGGCCAGGATACGGGGCTGGAGGCCCACCGGGTACCCCGAGGCTTCAGGGCTCTCCTGCCCTCCTCAGGCATGAGCGTGCACAGGCGTGTGTGCACATTCAGGTGCCCACGTGTGCTCTGGCTGACTAGGTTGGAGACGGAGTGTGTCTCTGCTCCTCAGCTGTCGCTGCTTCCCCTTTCCCCGCCCAGCACAGCACAGGTGGCAGTCAGAGTGTCACGCCCCTGTCCAGGGCAGACACAGACCCTGTTCTCTCTTTAGTAAGTTCTGTTAGACTGCAGGCCTCAGCTGTGTTGTCCCCAGGGTCAGCGCGGTATTTTCTAGCAAGTGTGCTGTGGGCAGCCGCACACGCTGACCTTAACCAAGCCTGTCCTCCTGAGGCCTGGTCACTGTGGGGGGCCTGGCTGCCGCCATGGGCACGAACCAGCAGGAAGCCCTGGAATCTGTCCAGAGGTCACGGTGGAGGCAGTGAGGGGCACGTGTGTGAGAGGGTTGTGGATGTGGGGGGGGAGCTGACGGCAACCCCACTGCTGTGACGGTAGAGACTGGGTGCTGGATTCACGGTGGGGAGGTGAAATCACTGGCAGGCTGAGGGAGGGGGCATGGGGAAGGGGTGGCGCGGCAAAGGGGAAGGGACGTAGCCAGTCACCTGCACCCCGGGATTGGCTGGCGTGCAGCCGCGCAGCAGGTGGTAGCAGGGCTCCGCGAGCAGCCAGGGGGCCACGGAAGCGGGGCCCGGCCTCCGGAAGATGCCTCGGTGCACGCTCCCTGCCCAGACACCCGGCTCCCGGTGTGAGGGGAGGACCCTGGCCCCTGCGTTGTGTATCAGAGTTTTTGCAGAACTCAACACCTAGAAAAGAAATGTTAAAACCAAGCAGTATTCCAGCAAAACTTGAGTTTCAGTTTTTGAAAGGTGACTGAGTTTGTGCTGTCATCAAATGTGGAGCCCAGCAAGGGTCTTCTTCGTCTGTGCTGTCGCTGGGCGTGGCCTGTGTGTCCTCCACGACCCGTCAGAACCGTACGTGGGAAAGTGTGGACCTGCACCAGGTCATTTCCGTGGGTGGAAATGACTGGGTGTTTTCTGAGGCAAGAGTTGATTGATTCTAATACTGTGTTTTTTTATCTGTGATTATTAAAATAAGTTTATTTCCCATCTAAATTTTGCATGGTAGTAAATTTTAGCTTTGCCTACATGATGAATTATTTATACTAAAACACAGAATCAGGGAGGTGAGTTACCAGAAAGATGGACGTTGACTCCTTTGGAGAATGCGCGGCCTGGCCTGTGTGCTTTTGAAAGGGACGTGCGCGGGCGTGCAGGGCGGGAGGAATGCCAGCGGTGAAACCCTGTCACCCGTCCTTCCCCTCCTCCTCAGGGCTGGGATCCCAGGAGGCGAAATGTTTTCTTCTACTTGTGTTGCTAGGTCCCCTTTTCAGTGAAGGCGCTTGAGGAAGTGGACACTGCAGGTGGTCACGTACCTAGCACATCGGGATGAAACTCGCGCTTCAAGGAGGCCCGTGAGCCATGCCCTCCTCCGCGGGCCTTGTCTGCCCCTCCTCCCACCCCGCTTGGTCCTGACACCCGTAGCCACCTGCATAGCATGCTGGTGTCTTCCTGCTGGAGGGTGAATTCCACGAGAGTGGGGCTTGTTCATTTAAGTCAGGTTTATAGAGGTATAATTTATAGATGGCACAATTTACCCTTTTTAGGGTGCAGTTCAGTGGGTTTTGACAAATGTATACAGTTTTGTAACTACCACAACAAATCCAGTGTAGAGTATTTATCACCCGAAATTTCCCCAGGCCCCTTGTTGTGGTTGCCAGATTTAGCAAAAGAAAAAAATAATATAATTACAGGCTTACACACACATATAGAAACATATATGTAGATGAATTCATACACACACAGTCACGTGTTGCTTAACGGTGGGGTATGTTCTGAGCGTCATTAGGTGATGTCTTCATTGTCTGAGCATCGCGAGTGCACGTGTACAGACCTCAGTGGTACAGCCTGCCCTACCCCAGGCTACGTGGCCCAGCCTGGGGCTCCTAGTCCACAAGCCTGTGCAGTGTGTTACTGCATGAGCGTCATTAGGTGATGTCTTCATTGTCTGAGCATCGCGAGTGCACGTGTACAGACCTCAACGGTACAGCCTGCCCTACCCAGGCTACGTGGCCCAGCCTGGGGCTCCTAGTCCACAAGCCCGTGCAGTGTGTTACTGCGCTGAATACTGTGGGCAATTGTAAAGTGGCATTTGTATCTAAACATAGAAAAGGCACAGTAAAAATATGGTAGGAGTTATAATCATATGGGACCAACATCATATGTGCGGTTCATGGTTGACTGAAAGGTCGTTATGGGGCACATGACTGTATATATAAAATACCACATTAAATTTGAATCTCAGACCAACAAGAAGTAACATTTGGTGGAGGGTCCCCCCGACCAGCCTCTGTGGCCATCCCTTCCCCAGCCCTGCCCCTGGACTTCCGCCTTTTCCTCGGGGACCCCAGTGCCCAGAGTGGTGCTGGGCATGCAGCACATGCCTGTGGCTGTTGGTTTAGTTAATCCATGACTGGGAGAGGGCCCAGTGGCTTTTGGGGACGTGGCATTGCAGCTCAGTCCTGAAGGATGAGGAGATGGAGAGGGAAGGGCAGGGCCAGCAGAGATCATCCTGGGGCCTGGGGGTGCCCAGGGTGCACGTCAGAGCATGGGGACAGCGCTGCTCCACCGGGATGGCAGCTGCTGCAGCGCACGGGTCTGCTGGGAGAAATGCCGCTGCCACGGTGTGCTGCGCGGGCTGGAGCTCCTGGTGTTGGGCATTTGTAGGTTTCATATCTGTGTTTCATATCTGTGTCTCGGTGACTATGATGAAGTCACAACCAGTCGAGCTCTCGCTGGAGTCTGGAGGAGCTCCTTTTACTCGCCATTCACACTTGACTTTAGAAACATTTCCAGCTGCGCTCTCTCACTGTATTTCTCTTTTTGCTCTACAGGCACTAGGAAGCTTTTATTTTCTTCATGAATCCTTAAAAAACATCTACCAGTTTGACTTTAAAGGTAAGACTCCATGCCATCGTCTGGAATTCTGCCCCTGATCGATCTGGCTTCTTCTGGTCCCTTCTGCCCTGTGTCCTCCCGAGAGGCCCCTGTGGTCTGGGTTTTATGAGTCACTTACCGTCAGGCACGGACCAGGGACTGCATGTGAAAACCTGCCTTTCTGGCTTTTCTGACATCCGCCCACCTGCCTGGTGGCCCCCCTGTCTGATGCTGTCCCACACTGCTAGGCAGCCCTGTCACTACCCCTGCGCCCAGCGAGGCACAGGCATGGCAGTCTGGCTTCCTATAACAGAGTTAAGAGGAAAGGGGGGAAGTTTTGTATTGAATATGAGAAAATGAAAAACAGAATGAGGGGATTGCATATTTCAAGAACAAAAATGGACCAGAACACGTTTGTGGCTGTGGACAACGTTGCCCCTTGTTTAGTGGGCAGACACTGTGTGTCTGTATTGGTTAAGATTTGCCCTGAGATGCTCCTGCCAACAGGATCCTGTCCTGCCTTGTTCATGTCTGTGTCTCAGGGGCATCTGCATGCATTGCCCCGGATGTGAGGGGTTTCAGTGTGTGCCCTGTTCAGTCTCTGGGATATCTGTGCCTTTACCTTCCATTCAAGATTATCTTTTCCTACTGTTTGTAAATCCTTCTTAACTCCATCTAGGCTCTAGAGCCAGATTGCATCAATTTGAAATGTCACTGAAGTTGTGCTGGCTGTGGAGAGCAGCTAAATGTGTCAGATTGGTTATTTTTGCTCACTCAGGAGACAGAGTGCCTCTGATGAAATTGAGAAGCAGGGTCTTCTCCAAATCACTGGAATAGTGATTTCATCAACGTTGAGAGCAGGATTCTAGCCAGCAGAATGACTTTTCACCTGTCCTGCTGCCTAAGAATTCTTCATATACTTGTAAATACTAGCATCTGATTTTCCTACTGAGCAATGAGGCAGGAATAGCTAAGCAGACCTGGCAGGAGGCAGGGGTCAGAGGCTGCTCTTCCCACGGTTTTAATAGACACCGGACGTCAGTGTGTCATGGTCTTGAGCTGCGGAGCCATGAGCAACAGTGAGAAGAGGTAAACGTGCAGACACGCCTGCCCCAGGGAAGCTGGGGGCAGTACAAGGACTTAGATGTCAAGTTCAAGTGTATTCCAAATCTATAGAACTTTTTCTGTTTTTAAGTAATAATTGACATATAAATTTTACTACCAAATCTTGTCAATCATAGAGTACTGGGCTGACCCACAGTTTATTTAAGACTGTGCATTAGAGATATGTTTAACTCTAACAGAACCTGCAGGGGCCTCCACGTTGTCAACAGTGACAAGACGGGATGGTGTGAACAATGCACGTGACTGAGCACCGGGTGTGTCAGGGATATGTGCGAATTCTGAGAGTGCGTGATGGCCTAGCCTGCTGGGGTCTCAGCAGGGGCAGGCGTGCTTGTCAGCAAAAGCAATCAGAATTTGTGAAAAGTTTGAATAAAGTTTTTGAAAGTAATAGCCTGAATTAAAAAAAATAAAACCTAGTTAGAAATTTAAGAAGTGCCAAATGGCACAGATAAAAAGGGATGAAGGGGACTCACAGTTCCCAGTCCAATGTGTAAAGAGTCTGGAAGTCATCACTCCATTCCCATGAGAAAAAAGCTTCACAAGCTGAAAATAGATGACTCTTCTGAGATCTGTCAGAGAATGAAGGTAACGGGGCAAATTGCCGCCCTAAAAACTGGAGAGACAGACAGGTGGACACAAATATCATAACTTACCAGGGGCAGGAGCTGCCTCTGCAGCAGCAGCAGATGGCAACACTCTAATGGGAATGGATCGGATGCTGGAGGCTGACTAGCCAGACAGAACACTTCCTTTGTTGTTATCACCAGGAGCAAAAGGAACCATTCTGAAATACACTGGGGCACTCTGTTCTTAACAAGACCTGCCCTCAGGGAACTGATTCACTGGATTGCAATCTGCTGGGATCTTACCAGAGACTGACTACCTGGAGAACAGGAAATACCAGACTCCAGCTGCCTCTAGCCTTCCTGTCTCACCTAAGCATTGGTGTGACTGTCACAGCCTAGGGGTTCAAGCTTGCTAGAAGACTGAGACCCCAAACCTCACTGCCTTAGCATAATAGGGCATTACAACTGAATGACCTACAATGCTCAGACTCTTTAAGAAGAGGTCTCACTGGAAATCCAAAGGCAACAGAGGAGACAAAAACAAGGACAGTCAAGGAATTTTAATCTCTGGCATCTACAACTACAGCAAACAGTAAACACAGCCTAGTCCCTTGCCAAATAAGTCTACAACCTCACACTAAAGGTCTACCTACTCCAGTTCCTTTTACCCAATTATTCATGTTCTGCTTTCAACAAAAAATTACAAGCCATGCTAAAAAGTAAAAAGTACAGTCTGAAGAGAAAAAGTAAACATCAGAACCAGAGTCAGGTATGACAGAGATTTGGAATTATCAGACTGGGGACTTAAAATAACTGTGGTTAATATGCTAAGGATTCCAGGGGCTTAGGCAGGAGCCAAGGGCAGGCAGCCCCCTCCACCCAGAAGCAAGCAAGGAGCATTTTGAAAACACCACTTCCATGTGGGTGGCCTGCCACTGCCACAGCTGCTGCAAAAGTGGCTTGATGCCACAGCAGTATCCACAGCCACTGTGCAGGTGACCCACCAGAGACTTGACTACATTGACACAAAGAGAGTCACCAGCAGAGACCAGAAAAAGAAGAGAATGACTGTCTCCTTAAACTCCACTCCAGAGTAACAGAGAAAGCAACTGCTCTCCAGATGACCACACATCAACACAGAGATACTAGATATACAAAAAGCCAAGAAAATACGGCACCACCAAAAGAATACAGGAATTCTCAAATACCAGACCCCATAGAGCAGGAAACTCTTGAAATGAATGAAAAGGAATTCTGAGCAACAATCTTAAGGAGAACCACTGAGATATGAGAAAACTCAGACAACATAATGAAACAAGAAAAAAAATCAGGATATGAGGGAGAAAATTTATAAAGAGGTTAATACCTTGAAAATGAATGTAGCAGAACTCATGGGATGGAAAGATTCACTCAACAAAATAAAAAACACAACTGAGAGCTTAAGCAGCAGGCTAGAACAAGCAGAAGAAAGTATTTCAAATCTTGAAGATAGTCTCTTTAAAATATCCCAGCAAGACAAAAAAAAAAAAAGGAAAAAAGAATTTTAAAAATGAAGACAATCTAAGAGAGCTAGCAGACAACCTACAGTGCACAAACATTAAATCATGGGGGTTCCAGAAGGGAAGGAGAAAGGAAAAGGCATGGAAATCCTATTCAATGAAATATATTGGAAAACTTCCCAGGTATTGGGAGAGGCATAGACCTTCAGATCCAGGAGGCTCATAGATCCCCAAACAGACTCAACCCAAAAGTATCCTCTCCAAAACACGTTATAGTCAGACTGTCAAAGCTCAAAGATAAAGAGAGAATCTTAAAAGAAGCAAGAGAAAAGCAACAAGTCACCTGTAAGGAGCCCCTAATCAAACTGACAGCAGACTTCTCAACAGAAACTCCACAGGCCAGAAGGGAATGGGATGACACGTTCAAAATACTAAAAGAAAAGACCTGCCAGCCAAGAACGCTACACCCAGCAAGCCTGGCCTTCAGAAAGGAGGGGAGAATAGTGTATTGTACAGACAAAAAACTGCAGGAGTTCACCACAGCCCTACAAGAAGTCCTCAAGGAAGTCCTACATCTGGAATCTAAAAATGATAATCACTGCCACGAATACACAAGAAAGAACAAACCCCACTAGGAGAACAAAATCCAAATGAGAAGGAGGAAGAAACTGAATCTTACCACCACGGAAAACCATAATTACAATGTAACAATGCCCCTGCTTTATTTCTGCTTTTAGTAACTTCGGTCTTCTCTATGTAAGCAGAGAGGTGGAAATGCTAAGAAAGAATCAAAAGGAAATGTTAGAAATCAAAAACACTGTAACAGAAACGAAGAATACCTTTGATAGGCTTATCAGTAGACCTGACATGGCTGAGGAAGAAATCAATGAACTGGAAGATTTGTCCTCAAAAATGAAAAACTAAAAAGGAAAGGGAAATAAGAATGAATAAAGAAATCCAGAGCAAAATGTCCAGGAACTGTGGGACAGCTGTAAAACGTATAGTTTACCCATAACGAGAATGCCAATAGGAGAAGGAAGGAAAGAAACAGAGGAGATATTTGAGGTAATAATGGCTGAGAATATTCCGAAATAATAAGAGACACCCAACCACAGATCTGGAAAGCTAACAGAACACCACCAACAAGCAGAGTTTAAATGCCCAAAAGTCTACACATAGGCACATCATATTCAAACTGCAGAAAATCAAGAAAGAAAATCTTCAAAGAAACCTGGGTTGGGGCATATGGAGGAAACATCTTACCTGTTAGGGAAGAAGGATAAGAATATCATAGGACTTCTACTCAGCAACTATGTAAGAAAGAATAGAGTGGTATGAAATATTTAAAGCATAAAAGGAAACACCATCAACCTGTACTTCTGTATTCAGTGAAATTACCCATCAAAAATGAAGGATAAATAATGACCTTGTCACAAATAAAAATTGAGGGAATTTGTGGCTAGTAGACCTGCCTTGCAAGAAATGCTAAAAGAAATTCTTTGTCAGAAGGAAGGAGAATGATACAGACCAGAAGCTCCGAGTTACATAAAGAAAGAGCGTTCAAGGAGGAATAAATGAAGGTAATTTTAAATATATTTTTTTCTGACTCTTAATTCATCTAAAAGATAACTTTTGTTCAAGTAATTACAGCAGTCATTTACTGAGGGGTGGTAGCTTATGGATAACTGAAATGAATAATAGAAATGTTATAAGAGATGGAAGGGAGGAATTAGGAATACTCTAAAGAACCTGCACTATCTGTGAAGGAATATAGTGTTATTTGAAAGGTGTATATTGCAAACTCTGCAGCAATCACTAAAAATTTATTTTT